GTCCTTGACGCCCTCGTCAAGATGCATAGTTTTATAGGTGTCGATAACCTCCTTAAATTGCCATAAGTCCGTTTCCTTTTCCCACCTTACCTCGTTATCAGGCAAGCTTTTCCATTTTACTAACTCCATATGATTAGGAACACCCCGCTGTCGAATGATCCCACTCGCTAATATTTCTTCTACTTTACAGTCGTACGAAGTAATCATGACGGGAGGCGTACGATGTGACTCTCCTCGACTTGGGTCATCCTTGTCCCCATGATAAGGCTTTAGCACGCTTACGTGGAAGATGGGATGAACCTTCAGTTGTGGAGGTCATTTCACTTGACATGAGACATTTCCAACTTTCCTGACGATGGGAAAGGGACCTTCGTAGCGTCGCACTAGCCCTTTGCGCACTTGACGATAGGCTTTGAATTGTTGGGGCGGCATCTTAACCATCACAAGGTCACCCACTTGGAACTCCAAAGGCCTTATTCTCATATTAGTCCACTTTTTCATTTTCTTTGAGGCTTTATTCAAGTAAACCATTGCCATGTCGAGTTGCTCATGCAAACCCTTTGCCCATTTATATGCCGAAGGACTTGAACCTGTATATCCCGCTGCTATTGCATGAGGCGTTAGGGGTTGTTGACCCATCATTATCTCGAAGGGACTCTGCTGAGTTGCTTCACTACGCTGCAGGTTGTAGGAAAACTGTGCCACATCCAACAACTTTGTCCAATCCTACTGGTTGGGCTCACAAAGTGTCGTAGATATAACTCCAATAATGCATTGATCCTTTCTGTCTGTCCGTCCGTTTGCAAAAGAATGATGTAGAGAAGTAGAGGTCTGATCCCATCATTTTAAACAACTCTCTCCAAAACTTCCCCGTGAAACGCGGGTCTCGATCACTTACAATGCTTCTTGGAAGGCCCCAATACTTTACCATATGCTTGAAGAACAAGCATGGGGCTTCTTCCGCTTTGCAATCTCGCGGGGCAGGAATGAATGTTCCATAGTTGGATAATCTATCCACCATGACCATGATGGAACCATATCCCTCCGACTTAGGTAGCCCCAAGATGAAGTCCATCGTAACGTTATCCCATGGCTTCTCTGGTGTAGGCAATGGTTCTAGCAATCCTGCGGGTCTTCTTTGCTCCACCTTATCTTGCTGGGACACAAGACAAGTCTTTACATATGCTTCAATGTCATCCTCAATTCTCGGCCAATAGTATGATCTTTCAATCAATGCCATGGTCCTTTGGATGCCCAGATGACCAGTCCATATTAAGTCATGGCACTCTTTCATCAATTCCCGTCGTAAGTTTTCCCATCGCGGAATAAAAAGACGATTCCTAATAGTGTATACTAACCCATCTTGC